CACACACACACACACACACACACACACACACACACACACACACACACTCCTGCAGCCCAAAGTGCACCACAGATGAAAAGATCACAGACAAAGTAAAATAAATAGATAAATAAGAAGGCTGCCTGTCTGGGTCAAAGGTTGTCAAGTAACGGTGACGGTTCCTCTCATGCTTTTGTCCTCTAACAGAGGCTTTTACAGATGAGCAAAGAGAACCGCGAGAGCATTCAGGTTCCACAGGTTCCACGTTTCATTCAGTGGCTGACGGAGCGACGCCACATTGCGATGAACGGCTTGTGGTTAACGATGATTTCATCTCTGCTTGCTGCTATTCAATGGCGCCCCTCCTCCTCTCTCTCCATTCCCATCCAGCCTGCTCAACCTGACTGGGAGCATGCAGCAGAGCAGCCTGGGGGCTGTTTGGGCTGGAGGATGCTTTAAAATGTCACAATCTTTTTTTGTTTTAACGGAGAAGCTTCACAGCCACCTCAAGACAGTTTTACTTCGTTCGATTTATTATCCAAGAGCCAGAGAGTGCTGCAGGAACGAGTCCTGAAACCCAGAAATGAGGTAATCTCTAAGTCCAAAGGTTTATGCCTGAAATAAGGTCTGTGGTTAACACAAGCTTTTAACGTTTTGTTCTACAAAATAAGACACGTCAGTAAGTCGGTAATTTGGAAGCTTTCCCGAGTCTGGAAAAAGGGTGTTGCTAAGAAGTCTCTGAATGAGACCACAAAACATCATCACACCGACTAGTCCGCCTTCACAGCCTCGTTGTGTTTACCCGCGCTCATGCGACTGTGGTTTAGTCCGTTTACAGCCTAACGTTAGCTTTTTACTTCTGCCAACGCATTCACGCTTCAAAAATCAGTCAGTATTATAAAATTGTGTTTGCCACAAAAAAAAGCACTTTTTCAAGGGAACCAGTGATGCTAACTTCCTGGTTGGCCGACAAACATACGTCCTCCCCGCAGCGCTCTATTAGAGGAAGCCATTAAGGCAGTTCTGTGTCCTCGGCTCAGTAACTCCATCATTGAAAATCCCAGATTGTGATGTGTTCAGGGCCTGTATGCATCAGTCGCATCCAAATAAAAGATCAGACATCAGAGAGCTGCTGACTGATACAACATCCTAATGTCCTGAACCAAACTATTTATACGGGCAAATAAATAACCGAAGCAACATACGACACAACATGTGCAGTTAAAGAGCAGCCACTGGCCCAGACGGACAGGTTGAGGATCAGGGCCTGCAATTATCAAGTGAGTCAGAGCAGAAGGTTAGTTCTAAATGGGGCCTATACAAGGAACTAAAGGAGACGAACTCTTAATGGAGAGATGCAATATCATCACAACATAGTGGGTATATTTGATCCTTGAGTTTTCATTGTATTGCTCTGCGTGTCATTAAAATGTGATTTCTATCTGCTCTCAAAAGGAGAGACTTGTTGAGTGTGCATGTAGGAAGCTTCATAAACACAGTAACAGCTCGTCAACAGCAGCCGTGTGAAGCAGCACACTAGCAGTCCTTTTACACACTGGATCTATTCTGCCACGTTGCTGCTGTGCACTCAAGACTGTTTTGAAATATCTCACAGATCAATACACAATCATTTACTTGTGTGTGTGTGTAAGTAGACTTGATGCTTTCTGGGCAGTAACCAGTGCAGTCAATGTAAACAGCTGCACTGGTCACAACATCTGTTAACGTGTAAACAATGTGTGACTGTCAGGTTTGAGGGTAGAAGTATTCTTAGCCCCAGAGATAATGGCTAGGAGTGATTCTGGTTTTTACTCTCGGTCTTTTCTTCTTTTGGGAACGTACCTCTCTCTGCAGAGCCTTGCTGTGGCTGTCCGCTTCCTCCAGCTGGGTTTGCAGCTTGCTGCTGTCCTGCTGGTGCTGGAGCTGCAGGGCCGCCAGCCTCTTCTCCAGCTCCTGCTGGGACCTCTCCAGGGATTTGAGGCTGCTGCTCAGCTCCGCATTCTGGGCACGTGAGCTACCGGAAACAAGACAACGCGGAGTTCAATAGGTAGGGGGAAGAAGGGCGTGTGGTATTCTGTGTGTGGCAGAACATGTTGGAGCAGAATCAAGCAAATGAGACAAGAGGGAGCACAGAGGAGGTGGGGGGGGTGAAGCTGAGCTCTTGGTGCACACTGACCTGGCGAGCTCCTTGTCCAGCTGCTGCTGCCTCTGCAGCGCTGCCTCTTTCTCGGAGTGCAGAGCCGCACATTCGCTCTCCAGGCTGCCCTTGTCTCTCTGGTGGGTCTTGAGGAGTTCCTCCCTCTCGGATTTGAGCGAAGCGCACTCACTTTGAAGGCCGCTCCTCTCCTTCTGGAGCTTGTTCGCGGCTTCTTGCTTTTCGGATCGCAGGACCGAGCACTCCTTCTGGAGGCCGTTACACTCGGCCTGCATGGACTGCAGCTCGCTGGCTGTGAAGATAAAAATAGCTTTTATGTAATATTCTTGGAGCAGATGCTCTGTTCTTAATTAGTCACAGAAAACTAATTTTCCGTGCACTTGGACGGACATTTGAGTCTCAACAAAAGACCCATATTTCCAAATCACGAGGATACTAATATATATGTATTTGCACCTTGTATTTCTGCAGTTTTCTGCCACTGCTTGCTCTGCTGCTGGAGGTCCCGCTGTAGGTTGTCAATCTCTCGCTCGTACTTGTTGGCGGCCTGACGCCATTTGTCCAGATCCTTCGAGGCGGTTGCCAGGTTGGCCTGGGCGGCGGCAGCGTCGTGGTCCCGCTCTGCGGTGGCCTCCTCCAGGGCGCGTTTCAGCTCCTTCACCTCGTCGCGTGCACTCTGCAGCTCGTCCTGTGAACCGGAGGAGACGTCCATCTGCTGCCTGAGAGCGCCCGTCTCCTCTTGGAGCTGCCGCAGCTGGCCTGTCCGGCCCACGGAGGGGGTTCAGATTAGCGGACATTTTTTTAGGAGGACAGACAGAACGTTCCAGTCCACATATAAACAAACATGTACCTTGAAGATGTTTTATCTGTTTTGCAGACCCATCAGCTTGTTGCTTGTTTTCATTTCTCTCGTCCTGCAGGATACCTGCAAAAGATGAATGCAATTATTTCCTGTATTTGTAGTTGTCTGTGTGCACAGTACAAAGTGAAGTAAATGGTATCGAACATCAAAGATTATTATTATATTTACCCTGTAGCTCCATGCATTTGTGCTTCTCAGTATTAGCCAGCTCCTGGGCTTCTCTGAGGTCATCATTCAAGAGCTGGATCATTTTCTCTGAGTCACCGAAAGACCCCATGTTGGACCTGGTCAAGTCATCTGATAATGAAATACAGAATAAAACATGTATTATCCAGATTAGATGTTCTTCTAGCTGTAAGAGTAGAGATGTGTGTCTTCCTGCAGTGCATACAGAGACATTAGGAAGTTTAAGCCACGATGACACATCGCGAAGCAATGACGGCAATTCACGACTATAAAAATAGACGGATAACTCAAAAGTTCCACCACATTAATTCTGCCTCAGTCCCAAATACCAGGGCTGACATACTAGATCATTTCCCAAGATATTAAAATGGGACTATTACATAAACTAATTGCTAACCCAGAAATAGACACAACTACATTATCTGCAATTTAAAAAAAATATATATTTTCATCCAAGCTTTCATTCTAAATTGTCCATTAACCCGGCAACAAACAAGTCTCTGGCACGTCTCCAGGGCTTGGTTAACAGTGAGATACTGTAAACAATACACAAAGGCCAACGTTGTCAAGGGGCTGTGTTGTTTCCCAGAGGTGGAAACAGGCTCCACAAATACTCGGGCTTTGCAAATTCCCACTGAATAACTTGATCCCCTAATCTGCCACGGCTAGGAAAAGAGATGACCTCATCTCAGGCCCAGCAAATTGGCACAAGGCGGAAGAAAAAAACAGGAGTCGGGACGGGTCAAGCGTGTGCACCATAAATGGACACATCATCAGTGGAACGCTGTAAATGAAAAGTGATTTCATTGTGTCTGTTAACGCACGCACGCGTATTGATAAATGTCCCTAAAAATGAGAGAGGGGGTACGACGCGGCTGCTGGAGGCTGGTGGCACCCTCTGACTCAGGCACATGACCACTCTGCTGTGTGCCAGACAAAGGATGGGCGGGGGCGGCACTCTGTCCAGCGTGTGTGCATGAGGTCGTGTGTTCCCTCATGCATGCATATGTATGAGAGAGAGAGAGCGAGAGACAGAGACAGAGACAGAGAGAGAGAGAGAAAGAGAGAGAGAGAGAGAGAGAGAGAGAGAGAGAGAGAGACGGAATGCGAGTGGGCTTCATGTCAGTGGGGTTCTGTGTGAACGACGTCTGGAGACATTTCAGATTTCTTTGGTAGCATCAGTCATTATGGCCATTATGCGTTAGTGTCACAGAGTAATGATGGGATTAGCCTGTGTGTAAAAATACCTCTCTGACTAGTTTGGGGGGGGGTGCTGAGCATAACACGGCCTCAAGTGACGACAGGAAGAAAAAATGTAGGAGAAAGTCTTTTTTTAGCTCGGGTGCTGAGGGCTAAAGCCATCATAGTCTATCTTTCCCCCGATGTCGGTTTGCTTCCCAATGAATGTGACGGCGTTCTTTACAACCGAATCGGAGGGAACTGCCTGGACTGAAAGTCCACAGTGTTCAGCGGGTTTCTATAAAACTGCAGAGGGCCAGGGGGGATATTAGTTTCCAGCTATGAAACGGTGCTGTATGAGATCCAAAGAAAGAAACGTCCTGATCGGTCTGTGAGGACTGAGGTGCTGTTGTCGTGAGGACACTGTTTGCTTTGTGCTGCCTATATGCAGCGTGGCGGCACAAATTCATCCATCATGCAAAATTAATTCGCTCACCAACATGCTCGCGCATTATTCTCATGAAGGTCCCCGTTGGTTTTGCTGTTCTCTGCACTGCAATAGCTTTGGATAAGTAACCCTACATGGCGCTAACACACCGGCTGCCATCCATCTTCTAATAAGCTGTTGACACTTGAGAAATCAGCCCCTGAAAACAAGGCCACCTACATCACCGTGAGCTCTACAGCCAACCAGACACTCTACTGAACTGTGACTCATGCTTTTCTCTCTCTCGCTCTCTCTCGCTTCACATCGTCAGTTAGTAAGATCACGGTGTCAGGTGAGAACAGCCGAGTCATTCAGCTGGGTTACCTTTAATGACCGTTACGTTATTCAGGGGATCACTGAGCTCTTTCTCATCCATTTGCTTATCTGTAAAGAAAAAGTAAAACACACACACACACACACACACACACACACACACACATATATATATATCTCATGGCAACAAACGCATAGACTAAATCAAGAGTTAATGTTGATAACTAGAATACATTTTAAATAAATATCCTAACTAAATCATTAAAGCTATTGCTGCTGTTGTTTTGGTTGTTAGTCATATCAAGTACTTCTGCCAGCTGCATAAGTGCTGAGAAATGTTCCTTTGAGGTCTTAAGTCACAGAAAATTATCTAATAAAAAAGGTCAAGAATAAAACTCATCTGGAAATATTACCTCGAGGTGATCCGGGAGCTTCTGTACTCGTTGTGTGCTGAGGCTAAAGCAATCTCTGGCATGAAGAACTCTCCTCCAACTGTCAGATTTTTCTCAGATGCGAAATGGACCAGTCCAAGCTGGGAGGCTGGAAGGGGGGGGGGACACACCGAGGGGATGACAGACGCTGTGTACCAGACCTCCCTGCTATTGTTAGACTGAAGCCAGTGAAGACACAGAAATGGTTGAAATAAGTGGACAAATACTTAAAAGTGTGGTTATAAAAGCTACAGAAGAGGTAAATCAGAGGAATCTCATCAAAAACACGACCCCCCTGCCCCCCTTTGTGTTGTGGCTGGTCTTCCAGCCCCTCCACACTAGGTCATGCATCCGAGTGGGGCATGTCGGAAGCTGCAGCTGCACAGTCAGTGACACAGAGAGGTTTTGTTCAGGGAGCCGGGGCTGCTCTCTGACCAGTTGGTACTGATGTAAGAAACCTACAGGACACAGAGCAAGGACGGCCAGTGTGATGGCGTGCGTCCTACATGTGCTGCATCCACCTCCTCTCTTACTCTGCCCTGCAGGCCTTTTAAATGCATGAATTATTAGCCTTTAGCTTGAGAGCTGCTGCGACAAACTGTGTGTTGTTCAGCTAATCTGCATTGTATCGGACTGCTTTGAAATGTTTGAGAGGCTGAGGTGAAATCAAGACAATGAAAGAAAAGCAGTGGCCGACACTGAAAAGGCTTTCTACATGTATGCAAATAAATGTTTCCCCCTCTAGTCAAAAGCTTTTCATAACTTCCTAAACCCCTTGAATAATGCATGAAGTCCACACACAGACATGCTTGTGTAAAGGGTGGCATGGTTTAGAGTACATTTGAACTTAATTCTTTTCATCATACACAAGCATGCTGACTTACGAGAGAAACAGATTCACTGGTGTTACCTAACCTGAGTTTATTCAATGGCTGTATGATTCGATATCATGAATGGTGACATTATGCGTCATACTTGTAAAGACAAAAACCACAGGCTCAACGGGGCAAGTATGAACAGCTCTCGTGTTAATTGCTTTTCGGGATCAGCACATATAATAACAGAAAAGCTGCACCCAACTCAAAAAAGTGCAAACCAGTCAGCGTTAAGAGACTGTCGGCCAGCTAGCTGCCAAAGTCTAAACTACAACTGACGGGACATTTAATGTCCACATTAACAACCTGCAGGTTTAGTCAGGACACTTAAGAAGCTGCCTCTACAGTTGGCAGCTACATGCTAACAATAAATTTAACTGGAGAATCAATTGTTGGACACGGCAAAGGCCAAGGACTCACAGAGTAAAAATGTAAGATCCTATAAATATAGTAAAATAAACAACCAGGGAAATGTCCTTTAAGAGTGTTTTAATTTTCTGTGGACATATTCCAGAGAGAGACCTGAACCTTGGTTGGCTGAGCAAGCTAGTAATTAAGTACAGGTTTATGATCTAATGCTGCAAATCATTGACACATTTTCAGTCAATAATCAAACTGTGCAACCTTCGGCTTTATTCTCAGTTAATTTATAATCTTTACAAACTGTATCTTTGCATCCCACAGGGGTGTTATTTTACTTTTGGGAACTAAATATCCTATAGGGGATTAAAGGCTCTGAAAGAGCAAGCAGTGTTCTGCACACAGACAAGTGAAAGGTAAACCCACATAAACCGGTTTTATAGGTGAAAGATTCACCAAACTGTAACAATAAAGCTCAGCAGCAAAACTACATCATGTCAAAATGTGTGGGAGCCAATAGATTCAATATGATCTGAAGTTGCTTAACTAGTTGCCTCTGATCACACTTCCAGAGCCGCCATGCCAAATTCCAAGGATTTTACCCTACATGCTTTCATCACATTTACAGCACTCTGGACTCGTACCAAATGCAATAAAACAAATCTGCTCGTTGCCTCAGCAATAAATCTGTCTTGATAGTGTCGAATATATCCTGTCAAAAAGGCACAACTAGTAGTTGTGATGAATGGAAATACAGTCTACACTCAGCTGCCAGTTTATGACGTATACACACACCTAAAACTAATGCAGTTTAATACAACAGTCCTGAATTTATCCCGCCTTTGTGAGGGTTATAACGTTCAGGTTTTCATTGAAACTGTTTTAGAGAGAAGGTGAATAAACTGTATGAGCACTTTGGAAGATTAAAACGTGATAAAATGATTTATTACAAGTCTTTTGGATTATACTGCATTAGTTTTAGCTTGGTGAACCTTATTAACTGTCAACTGGGTGTATAATGGTGTTCATGTAATGCTATATGGATGGTTATGGAAATGTTTTGAAGGAAGATAATAAAATTCAAATTCAAGTCTTTTCTGTGACGGTCATCTACGAGTTTACCCACAATAAAGAAAATTAACTGAAGCAAGTTGTATATTTAACTGAATAATAACTTTAGTGACTTTAAGTATTTTTTATCTGTGATGGTATATTCCACACAGTAAACTAACTTCAAGTCAACTAGCGTTTGTTTGACGTTGTAATCTTCGCTAAATTAAAGTTAGATGCTAATGTTTCTGTTAGCTTAGCTAATGTTTCTGTTAGCTTAGCTCATGTTAGCTTAGCTACCAAACATTAAATAACGTTGGCTTATAGCTAGCTAAGTAGCTGTTAGTTGTTTTTATTGTTACCTTATTGTATTTCTTTACTTAATATGAAGTTACACGGTTAAATGTGTCTTTAAAAATATTTAAACTGTCAACTTCAAAATAGAGTTAAGTTACTGTTAATTTGCTGTGATGATAGCTAACTTAGCCTAAAGTAATAAAATGTAGAGCTAACGGCAAATTAGCAAGGTTTTAGATGATAATAGCTCAAGTTAATATTAGTTTAGCTAATGTTAGCTTAGCTACCGAACGTTAAATAATGGTACTGGATGTAACGTTAGCTAGCTAACTAGCCGTTAGTTGTTTTTATTGTTACCTTTTATTTCCTTACTTAATATTTAGTTCCAAGTTGAAATGTGTCTAAACAATATTTTAAAAGTATTTAAACTGTAACTTACCACCAAACAATTTGCTCAAGTTAATGTTAAATGCGGCTTCTTCTTCTTCTTCTTTTGATCTTTATGGCGGTTGGCAATCTTTCGGGTGCATTACCGCCACCCACCAATCTGGAGTGTGGACTAAGGATATCCTCTACAATAAAGAAAAACATTAGTCTTGTTAACTCTAAATATTGCAGAAGAAGTTCCCAACATTTGTCACCAAAGCTATTCTTTAGTACATTAATTATATTTTCCTCTCCCATCAATCTTAGACCATTTTTCATGCCTTCCCTCGCTGACTCGTACCTCTGACAGGATAATAAAACATGGTCCACACTTCTTCTTCACAAAATGCACACTTTCTATTGTTATGCTTTCCAATAACATAGAGGAAACTATTAAGACCAGTATGGCCATTCCTCAGTCTTGTAATAATCATCTCCTCTTTCCTAGTTCGTCCACTAGAACCTGCACTCCAATGGTTTATTTTTAAAATATATCTTCCTTTACTCCCTTTATTCTGCCATATCTTTTTGATTTGTCCCTTAATCACCACTTCCGACTCACTTGTATTCACATTAATGTTATTTCTCCTACTCTTCAAAGCCCTTTTTGTTGCTTTATCCTCCTTCTCATTCCCATCGACTCCAACATGGAGCCACACAACATTAACAGCCACCCGCATTTGATGTGATAATGTTACATTCCAAACACAATTCTACTTTAACAATGGCGCTGAAGAGGCAAAAACAACCGTGTGTTCATCCTTCAAGTGGAAAACATCTCTGAAAAAAAAAAGAATAAAGAAAGTTGCCTAATAATGAGGTGGGTGTCGCCCTGCAGACTTACAGCGTTACGTGTCGAGCTAGCGGTCTAAAAACCAGAAGTGATACTCTCAGTGTCGGTGTCGGTGTTAGCGGGAGGAGGTGGACACATCCCCACCAAACGGTGTTTTCCGTTATTTAACTTAAGCCACCAGATGCTCGACTAGTAACTTTTTGATCTTTTTGTTTCCCTATTTAGCTTTTTACTGTTTTGATCGAGTGTTTTTTTTGTCTGCTCCCCGATGACTTCCTCTATCTCAGCCTGGATTTGGAGTGAGAGATTTTGGCTTCCCGAAAATGTTACATGGGCGGACCTGGAGCGACCACCACCTGGTGTGGAGTACCCGAGAATCCGACACCTACTTTACGCACTACCTCTGGCTGTCATAGTGTTCATGCTAAGGCTGCTGTTTGAAAGGTACGCTTGTCCTTTTTTGTTGCTGGTTTTTCTTGTTTTATTCTTTATTTGGATGCGTGCTCCCGTGTGCGTGCACAGTTGAAAGCTTCAGCCTATGTGGCAACTGTTGCTCCGAAAAAAGAGTGGAACAAAACCAAAAACACCCACCAAAACCTTTGCAACAAGCTTTAATACATGACTCATTCTTTACGCACGCAAACTCTCTTGACACTGAAGATGAACCAACTCTCTGCAGGCTTCAACCAAAAAACCCCAAAAAACCGAGCTGCTCCTAGTTAAAGTAACATGACATTAGGTTTTTTTTAAACAAATGGACTCCATAGATGGGACTTCTTCTCCATGTGACAGTTAATTATAGGCTTATCCACTCCTGGTTGTCTTTTGTCTTAGCTTCTTATGAATAGTGTTGCCATTCCTTAGAGGTGATGACACATGAAGTCTCCCACTGGCATGAACCACATGTTTACCTTGCTCAGCAGGATAGTTTGGGCACTTTTTATTTTGTGAAAACTGAGCCTGGGTTATGTGCTTTAAAATAAAATAAACACACACACATCTGTATTCCTCAGTCCAAAGTCTGTACTTCTATTCATTCAGTCTTTTCTGCTCCACGTTAGGCAGAAGTATCGTGTTGTGGGATTGAAACCTGATCAAATGTGTCTCGGCATGTGACACACATCAGTATTGTGGTCGGAGGCAGCCCTCCCATCCCTGTCTCCCATATCCTCACATGACACAGGTCACCATGCTCTGTTTAGACTAGGTGCTACATTCCCCAGGATCCCCTCCCAGTGCTTGTCTTTAGATTCTCTCTTTCTCCCCCGCTCCCTGTGAGACAAAGTCGAACATTACTCTGCGTGAGGCAAACTGCACACTCGACAGTCCGAGGCAAATCTTAGCTAATGGTTCATCTGTCCCTAAAGCCGGTACAGCATGCTTAACTTATCTCCCTGACTCTCTCTCTCTCCTTGTCTTTGTCTCTCTAAATACCACATCTGTGTCACCCGCATCCCCCCCACACCCCCACACCCCCTCTCTCTCTCTCTTTTTGTGCCTCTATCTGTGTGTGTATACAGCCTAGTTGCCAAGCCCTGTGCCCACATACTTCAGATTCAGGCGGGAGTGCCTCGACAAGCTCAGCCCAATGCTGTCCTGGAGAAAGTGTTTCAGTCCAAAGCGGTACGTGTTCGTCCCATCGGCCATTAAATGTTCCTCTACACGCTGGAATACACCGACACGGGCACAGTGATGTGTTCAGAGCAGCTTGGTGGTGTAGAGAGAATGGAAAAGCAAGTGATTTCTTTTTTTGTTCTCCTCAGTGTCCAGACACGAGGCAACTGGAGGGACTCTCCAAGCAGCTGGACTGGGATGAGCGGAAAATACAGAGATGGTTTCGGGTCCGTCGGAACCAAGACAGGCCCAGCATGCAGAAAAAGTTCTGCGAGAGCATGTGAGTTCCTGCTTCGCTGCTGTGTAGTTTGAGTGTAGTGTGTAGTCGAACCCTGAGGACTGTGGTGACCCCACTTATCCTGTGGAAATATCTCAACATCTTCACCTCTGCTCTTCAAGAAGACAACAAGTTGCATTGCTCTGGTTTCTTTTCTTTTCTCAGGTGGCGGTTAACGTTCTACTTTGGGATTTTCATCTATGCCGTTCGACATTTGTGGGGGGTGAGTTGAATGAGCATACGATGCACGATGCTGATACTGTTGCATTGAAGTGTTGCGTAATAATAATTACAATAACTTTATTTAAGTAGCAGTCTTTCAAAAACAATGTTACAAAGTTCTTTAGAATAAAAACATGATAAAAATGATCAAGATCAGGATATAAGAGATAGAATTGTTAAAATAGTGACAACAAAATATATCTATCTATCTATCTATCTATCTATCTATCTCTCGATAGATAGATAGATAGATAGATAGATAGATAGATAGATAGATAGATATAGATGTGTGTTTAGAAAAATTAGATTACATTGAGTCTTAAGAAGGGATTTAAAGGAAGACAATACCGTTGCATTGAAGTGTTGCATAATAATAATAATAATTGTATTGATATAGCACCCATAAAATAATTAAACATGATTATGAAACATGATTAAAGTGATTAAGATCAAGATATAAGCAAAATAAAATCATTACAATAGAGACGACAATATACCATCTGTAAAGAAAAAGCCATTCGATAAGTGAGTCTTAAAAAGAGAATTAAAGGACGATACTGATGCTGTTGCATTGAAGTGTTGCATAATAATACTTTTATCAATATAGTGCCTTTAAGAAACAATGTTAAACAAGCTTTACAATAAAAACATGATAAAAAGTGATTTAAGATCACGATATAAGCAAAATGAAATCATTAAAATGGAGACAACAATATACCATCTGTAAAGAAAAAGCAAATTGATAAAAGTGAGTCGATAGTTCCACAGCTTTAGCTTTTATTAATACTGTGTATGATTGGTGATGTAATCATATGAACATTTCATCTGTTTCTGTCAGTCGCCCTGGACGTGGGACACCAGGAAGTGTTGGTACAACTACCCGTTTCAGGTGAATAGTTATTATTACTTTTTTCATTAACTGCATTTTCATCACATCCAGCTGCATACAGCACCATATTGTTTGCCGGTCAGAGAAGCTTCATGTTCTTTAAAGGTGTTTTATTTTTCTTGTTTCAATCCAAACAGCATCAGAGCTCTGAACAGTTCACCCACTACGCGGCCGAGCTCGCTTTCTATTGGTCTCTGATGTTTTCCCAGTTCATAGACGTTAAACGTAAGGTGGGTAAACAACTGCCCCTCCCGAATCCGGCTCCTTGTGTCGGATGCCGGTTCGCCGGCTTTCCTCGTATCCCAGCTTTCACGGCATTATATGTCACCAGTGTGTGAGAATTAGTTTATTTGTGATGCGCTCTGGCAGAACAGGTTGGACGGAAAGGTTCACAGGGCTTCCTGTGTGTAAAGATTCAGCCTGTCATCCCGATATTTACACAAGTCCTTCAGTTGGTGACATAACTTAACTGACAGCCTGTTTGGTGGATGCATAATTACCGGCATTGAGACTCAATTACCTCATTGTTCACATTCGCTGCAGGTGTTGTTTTTTTCCCTCGCATCCTCGTTTACCTCTTCCCTGTCGTCTCTCCTCATTCCCCCGATGACAGGACTTCATCATCATGCTCGTCCACCATCTCGCCACCATATTCCTCATCACGATCTCCTACGCCAACAACATGTTAAGAATTGGCACTCTGGTCATGTGCGTGCACGATGCATCCGACATCTTCCTCGAGGTAAAGAATTTCTCCTTTTTTTTAAATTTTCTTAACGTTGTTGCGCAACATGGAGCAGGCGGGGATGATACCGCCGCTGTGCTGTGGAGCTACTTGTACGACCTGTCTGACAGTGGAAAAAAACACACAATCGCATCAGTTATTAGTGCAATGACGCAGTGGACACACTGAAAATGTAGCAGAACGAGTTTGGGTTGTCCTCGACCAAATATATTGTTAGCAGACTCACAAGTAGAATTGTTATCGACTAATCGGTTTCATTGACTTAATCGACGGATCTGGAAAACTTGAGTTTCTCCACAAAGAATCGCACGAAAGCGCCACTTTAAAGTCTTAAGATGGGTTCTTACATTTCTTTGAATTCATGTAGAATTTTTAAAAAGCATTAAAAACAACTCAAGAGAGACTTTACTCAACGAAGAGCAAAACAACCGATTACTAAAGTAGTAGTAAAAGTAGTCTAGAGCTACTTCTACTACTTCCTTTCATTAGCCTTCTTAGTGACGAGCTAACTGGAGATACTGGTGTGTGATATTTTCATACAGTGAATCATTTTAATTCCTTATCTATTCCTCAAGGCTGCCAAGCTGGCCAACTATGCCAAGTACCAGAGGCTGTGCGACGGCCTGTTCGTGGTGTTCAGCATAAGCTTCTTCTTCACTCGACTTGTCATCTATCCTTTCTGGTGAGTCAAATGAGACTTATTTACAAACCAAATTGCTTTCTTTTGCCTACTTGTCACATGTTCAACTATTGGAAGCATCTCTACTTTGTGTGTGTGTGTGTGTGTGTGTGTGTGTGTGTGTGTGTGTGTGTGT